TCATTTTTCTTTAAAATAAAAGTATATCTTTTACATTTCAATACACGCGACTGTATTCCACAATCTCGCGATTTATATTAATAGCCATTGTACGTAGCGATATCGTACAAGACGTCGTGAATCGTGTTTCCGTTGCAGAGTTAATAAAGAGTCTATGTAGGCAGCAATACGGTTCAATGGTACTTCAACAAATATTTCAAATCTCGTCTCGCCCACCCTCGTCAATCTCGACCATGCGCTAGGAGAGAATTGATATTTTGCCATACAAGTTACAAAAATCGTCTTGCCTCGTCTCGTCTCGCCTCGCCGGTGGAAATATACCCTTAGAGTGGCAAACTAGGGGATTTCGCGCACTTTCCGGTAACCGATTTCAATAAAACTTGCCAAATAGTTGTTGGAACTTTTGAGATCAGTTTATTTTTTTATAAAAACGTTATTCTGTTAATGTTCTTTCTATTACTTCTAACGACTTGACATTTTATGTAAAATTTTGAATCCGCTTTTTATGAGCCCTGCGCCCAGCAGTAGGAATATGAAATAGTAAAAATCAAAATAAAATTTTACCACACCGTTATTCCATGGCATTTTTCTGTACTAAAAATCACAATTTACATTAATTACTCCGGAAAAAGATTTTCTTTTTCCAAATGGAAGCAAGTCTTCCATTTCGTTCGGTTTAATCAAAATAATTTTTCCGATCGCACTAAATACAATTGTCGGCATTTTTAGAAAATAATATTATTATTTTCTGATCTATTCTTAATACGATTTGGTGGCTTTTAGAGTAATGAATCGGGAGTAAATGTTGGAAATGTTTTTTTTGTACATTGTACTACGCACAGTAAATCGTTCTTATATATAAAAGAAAAACATATTTATAGCAATAATTTTATGATTACAACGGTCCTCACATAGAATACTTAGCTTCTTAATTGAACAGAATTGATCTCCTTCTTGTTATCGTGCCGATATTCCTTCTAATTGAGGACTATATTATCGACTTTGAACAGTATTTTCAGCAAGTTGGTCCACCCGCGCGGCCGCATCTGCTGGCCGTGACGCGCGGGCAAACTTGCTGGACAAAGCGCCTCTGACACGCGCGCTTCGCATTCTCAATTTGGTGGCCAATAATGTAGACATATTCTTTTGTTCTTTAAGTGAACTCATACTCATTAATTCAAGGACTTCTACACGGATCACCGCAGATCGTAACCTGGTGCTGACAGAATGGATTTCAAATATTTATACAAGTAAACTTAAGACATATCCTTGGAGCATAAGTGTGATTATAGACTTAAAAGACCTCAATAATCATGGTCTACCGCTGTCACCAAAGTAAAAGTCTAATAATTATTTATTCCATAGGTAAAATTTTTACACTTGAAAACGTCATTTCCTCACCGAATAAAGTATACAGTATCTGAATATTATTATCTCTTGTTAGCCTTTATGGGTGACTAGCATCCAACCTTCATGGATGATCAGCGGACTGACTGGCTGCAAAGACAGATTGACTAGACTTACTTTCTTTTGAACCATAGACGAGGCCTCTGACTAGAGACTCTCCGTGAACGTCCTAATTGTGCAGACAGACTATACAATTTTGTATTATAACTATATGTCCTATTTAATTCCACATACTTACCAGAAGATGCAGCGAGAATAGACCACTCACTAGTTGGACCGAAGACCTAGTGGTGTTTGCGAGAATCCGCTGGATGCAAGCAACGTAAGATCGGTCGTCGTGGCATTCTTTGAGGGAAGCCTATATCTAGCAGACGACGTCTTTCGGCTGAAATGATGATCCCATGATAATAAGCGGCATGTTGCGAACTGATGAGACTGACTGACTGAAAGACTCTCATGCCTTGGAGTATGGGTCGGGTACTGGTGTTGGACGCCACGTGTGTCGACACACTTGCCCCATCTCATCTTTAGCGAACCAGCAAGAAGGCTAGCTCCACAGCTGAGCTGGTGGAAAGAATAAAAAGTAATAAGTACCAGGACCTCGGCTCCGACTACTTATTTACAGCCTTGGGAGTCGAAACCCTTCGCTCGTCGGGTCCCGGTGTCCTTCATCTGTACAAATTTTTTTTAATCCAAAAAATTTATAGGCTGTCTGGGAAACCCAAAGGCCGGCCGGCAGCTACCTTACCCAACGCATTAGCATAGCCATGCTAGTAACGTTCCCAAAGAGGGAATGTTGCCAGCTTCTTGGGCACCTTGCCGCGGAGATCTAGTATCTTTTATTGTATCTTTCCTATGTATATTTCACTTATTGTCTAATAAAAAGATTCAAATATGATGATCCTCTTTTAAAGATATGCTCGATATAGCCTCCTCCAATCTTCAGGATTAGTAGGTAGTTGATTTCTTTACAGCTGCTCAATTTTACGTCTCATTGAAGTGTTCACTGTATGGTATTCGTGGTCCTCCTCTTCTTCTTTTTCCTGTTATCTTCCGCTCAATTGTAACTTTCGAAAATTCGTCATTACGTAACAGATGTCCAAACATTTACACAGGGTTGTTAGTCAATTATTAACAACTTCCCAGGACTATATTACTAACAAGATAATATATTTTGTTCCATGCATAGAGATAAATATTTAAATAGACGCCACAAGTGCTGCGATCTGCATGAAAATCAAGCATTTCATATTTTTTGTACCTCCAATGACGTCACAAGTACTGTTTAACGATAGGAAATCTCCTTCGGAGCTAAAGCGGTTCATTGAATCGAAGACTCAGACGCATCACGTATTTAGAATAATGTTTTTTTAGGTACTTATTGAATATAAGGACTTGTGAAATACTAATATAGTAAAATATCCCAAAATAAGATAATTTAAATTATATAAATCATGTCCTTTAATGAGACGTGTTTGCAAAAAGTGTTGATTCGTTAAAAAATTAAAGATTTTTAGTTCAAGTTTTAATCGTTAAATCTTAACTTCCTTGGTTAGCGTATACTACATTTTTTGTCTTTGCCATAAAATAAACGTATTATAAATTGTCTTTTCGTTACAGATGATCTCGAATGCTTACTAAAAGAGTGAAAACTCTCGTCAATTTATTAATTTTTGACTGCCTTAATTAAATTTACTACATGGTTTTTTGTTCTTGATTGATCAAATAACATTGACAAAAAAAAACTGCGGTCACCTCAATCCATTTTTATTTTAAATTTGGGTTACGTGAATAAGTAAAAATAAACAACAAAACGTCAAAAGGTCTCAAGAATAACCATCCCTTCATTTCCTAAATCGGTGACAATCGAGAACTATGCTGCATAAAGTGAACATCACTAATCACAAAATTTGGCCAAAAACATGACGAAACCACGAAATTGAATGCATTATATTATGAAAGTATCGCTCGTTCGATATTCATGGCCTAATAGCCAAAGACCACAAATATACCGCACCAAGTAAAAACCACAATGTATTACGAAGCATGCGGCATACACTGGTTTGCATATTTATCATAGTTTTATGAAAATTCAAACAAAAAGAAAATAATTGATCTTAGGACAAATCATGCATATTCTGATTACAAATTTTTTTTAAATATATAGACACACGCTTAGCCACAATATCACCTGATGTTAAACGACGATGCCTTACCGATACCTTGAAAAGTATGCCTAGTTTTTTGGAAGCAGTTTTTGCCAAGAACTGTCAGAAGAATGAGTCGCCCAAAGTTGAGGTTGGATGGTAAGTCCAGACCAAGTAGCTCAAGGTGGTCACTTATCTGCACGGACACATCTCGGAAACTCGGAATAAGGTGTAGGGGACTCTGTTTTCACGAAAGCAATAAATGTAGGCCATACAAATATTTTTTATTTTTAATAAATATTTTTGATTTTAGTAATATAGTCCTCTGAGGATGTTAGTATTTAAAAAATAACCCTGTAATATTCATGTTGTGCAAAAATACGCGTTATAAATTGTCATTTTTTAGTGATAATCTAGCTTATTATACATGCAGTAAGCCTCGGTGTTTTTTATTAAATTTCCACCAAAGTCACTTCCAAGAACACAAAAAAGCTTTTCTCTTAACGCGCGCAAATGGCACCCAAAATATTTTTTTTTATAATTTTGATAGTAATAATATATTTTTATCATAAATTTACATTATCTTTTATTTCACTCAGTAAGAGTTATAAAAGAACACGGAATATGTTTTTTTTACCTTTTTTTGTGATATTTAGCTGAGGGCGCGTTCCATTATGCCGTAACTTTTTTTATTGGACGATTATCGCTTTTAGCCTGTTCCCATAACACGACCTTTTTTCCTATATTAATGAACACGACTGTCTGTCGTGGCTATGACGTTGACGTTTTTTAGTGTGTGTAGATGGCGCTTATCCTAAACAAAATAAAACAATAGCCGGCAGTCAGTATGCATAAAATCTGTGCAATAAGCGCCATCTAGTTGATTTGTTTGTTATCAGTAGAAATTAGAGTAGCTTTGATGACTTTTAGTTCGTCAAAATTATTTGGAAATTACGAAAATAAATATTGCACACATAAATAATGCACACACAAATGCACGCGCAGGTACCATGGACACACACATAGACAACAATCACAAATTAAAAACCCACAGTCACGTGAAAACCGATCAGCCACAGGAGCAGTAAATATATATGGTATACCTAAAGGTACTAGATGCCTGACAACGCTGTTTTATACCGCGATTAGTAGTCCTATTGAATTATAGGTCCATTATATTGGTTAGACTGTGATATTACTTAAAGTTAAGGCAAATCTCTTTGCCATTCCGAGCTCTGATTATCCATCACCCACAGTACAATTTCTACCAACGTACTTTGCCGCGTAGACATGACTGTTTTCTAATTCGTTTTTTAAACGACTATATATTTTCTGCCACTCCCTTAAACGGTTTTTATAGAACATGGCTTAAGTTTGTCGAAACGTTCAGCCTATTGTTTTTGTGTTCACTAATTGTGTTTTTATTTTCAGGTGCGCCGCTATTGTGCTAAAATAGGTGTGGCCGTGAGAAAAAACAACATGTTGCCGTATTTCGGATAGGAGGTAAGATTTATTGCTTTTTTTAGGGGTCCGTAGAATTAGGAATTTATATACGTAATCACTTTACAACGTGCCGGTAAATACTAAAAAGTTCAAAAACAATGTTCACAACCAATCGACTTTTGATCTTTCACGAATATAATATTATATTAGACGTAATCTAATATAATATTAGACCTTCGTATCGATTTCGATAACAGCGGCCCTTTGAATTAGTTCTTAGCTTGTTAAATATAATATGACTCGATGTAACGACTTTCTTTTAATGCCCGGCCTTTTAAAATTGGCTTTCAGAGTTTAAAGTATAGCCATTTTGACTTTGGCATCACAGTACATGATTTACTCAAATATTTTGAAGAAGATGTCCAAACTCATGAGACGACGATTTCGTTTAACTAGGGAAAACGATTCTATTGTTTTGAATTTGCTTTCCATATACGTTTAGATTCTCGAAATTTGTAAATTTGTAAAACAACATCCTGAATTCTACACCAATCGTGACACCCTGCCCCAACGACACACTTTTAGACCATGCAATAGATTGCTTCTACCACAATCTCTGCTACAGATACACAGCTCAAGTCTTTCTTTGATGTAAGGATATTCAATGCGCTCGTATGTGTTAGATCGTATAGGAGTTCACTCGGATTTTGGTTCACAAATTCATCAGTTCTCTTTGCACGATCGAGATGATGATGACTGATCTGCTGCTGCAAGGTGTATGAGTTGTAACAGACGTTAATGACTGAAGTACAAAGCTATGAGGGTAGCAAACTAAACCAAGAAATCCAAAAAACTTATTACTTTAATAAAAAAGAAAACAATTTAAAAAAGGTACATAAATTTAATACGGTCGTGGTAACGTGCCTTAAGACTTTAAGTTTTCCGCTTCCGAGTATGGTACTCCCCTGAATATTTGCCGGCGCAGAAGAAGGGCCACAGGACGAGCAGCAATTGGTAGCCGTTCAGTAGAAATGCTTCGTCCTAGTCCGGACGTAGTCAAGTGTATGATGAGCCCGGAGGAAGCTCAGCAAAGGTAGCTTTCCAAGCCGCAGGTAATTTTTTCTACCCGAAGGTAACTTCCAACTCGAAGGTAACTTAATCCGAAGGTGATTCCTGTAACGGATAACCAACTGATAGTAATAGTCCTTTTGCCTCCGTTCTGAAAGCCCACCGATGGCAAAAGAGAATTAGAAAAGAGCACCTACGTAGTAGTGATTGCCGGTGGCGCGATCAGAACAGAGTTGCAGTTTAAATTGTGAAAAAATAGATAAAATAAAGAATTTACGTAGTAAAGCTGAAGGCCGAGACTTTGCGTATTGTTAGAAAAGAAAAATACTAAGTAAGCCAAGGAAAACAACGGTGAAAAAATACAATTAAAATTGTACGTTAATTTTTGAAATTTTGATGATGCAATCTTCAAAATTTCTCAAACCGTATGGTACTATGGTTCAAATTTACATTGTACATATCTATATAATCGTACAAAGAGCCGCCATAACGACACAAGTACAATTTGATACAATACAAAACAAGAAATCAGCAAATAAAAGCGTTACAAGTGTTTTGTGTGTCATTCAACTTACCCTAAAGCGGGAAATTTCACTTGCACAACTATTTACGTACGTTTACCGTGATGGGAAGCAATAATCTTCGATTTACAATATAAATTTAGATATTTCAAACCACGTTTTTATATCGGGAGCGCAGCCAAGCCGAGCGTGGACTGGCTCTGAGGACGTTATCGCGCTGTTTGCCGAGCCAGCGGGCGCCGGCGCCGGTTACCGCGCTCCCCTCTCTCTGCGTCTCTCATCATTCGAAAATGCAACGATGGTTGCCATAGATTTAACCAACTTTGCCTATAGTGGTTTTAATGTTTTGTAATCAATTATTATCTAAAAATATGGTATATTTGTTGAAGAAATGTTTGTGTTCTATTTCTATTACTTTTAAATTTAAAAAAACGTTTTATTCAAAAATTACTTAACAACGTTGTAACGTTCCGTTACTATGGAAGGGAAAAAACAAAGCAAGAGAAAAATTTGAGCAACAAAATGGTTTTTAAGATGAACGATGAACAACTGGGCGCTTCAAATAATTTTATTCTATAATATGTAGAAGAGAAAGATACGTTTAAAACTCGAACATTTTTCTTAGTTAGCGCCATTTTGTTTTCAGAAAATGATCCGAGTATACTCGTAAGAACAGAACCACGTCCGAGTTCACTCTAACCGTATGCCGAGTGCGCTCGAGTTACGTATTTACACGCTACGAAGCGTTCAAGTAGTCATCCGAGTAGACTTAGTCCGATCGTACTCGCATAGTGACACCCCGGCTTTAACAAAATGAAATTATACCTAATTAATAAAAAGTTAATACAATTTAAGTGAATATTGTAATGACAAACAAAAAATAATATTATAATAAATTTTGTTAATAATATATATTATCACGCCTTACAAATAAATCTTTAATAGTATTATGTTAGTTACACTAATGTAATTTAATTAATTTCAAACTTTCACAGTGATATTATTTCTTATTATATTTGGTAGTAGTAGTAGAGCACCTTGTGAAAGAGTTCGTCCAGGGTAGTACTGCCACCATACCTATTTCTGCCTATGTCAGCATTACTGCGTTCCGGTTATGAAGTGTAAGGTGCTGGTGAAATTACAGGCACATAGGACTTGTTAACGTATGTCTCAGGGCGGCGGGCGCAGTGGTAGTGCAACTCAGATCTTTGTACGACTTGTTCGTCCCGTCGCTTGATGTTATAAAAACTATGAATAATTTTAATTACTAATAATTTAAGCCTCGGACCACCCCTGCTCTTATTATTTCTCCTATTATAGGGCTCATGTGTAATATTATTTTAAGACAAGTACCCCATAAATACAATAAATAATATATTATTGAATATTGTGTAGTCTTCTATAATGCGCGTACCATCGTAGGTCATATCGCTTAACGTCAGGAGGGTTTATGGCCAAGCGTGAACCTATTATTGATATCTATAAAAATGCTGCAAATACTCAATAAAGCTAAACAGCTTTGAGCTTATTCAGCAACCGTATCTATTATGAGCCATGGATTTTTATCAAATAGCAGAACCCTCTTTTTCTTTATTCAAAAGCACCTGCTACCTACCTTTTTCTTCTTTGCCCCTCATTAGGGTAAGTTTTTGCGTGTAAAAACTTTTGGGGCGCCATTAAACGCTATACGTAACGAAATTTACACTTAATTTGTTACGAGAAGGTGCTTGGTGATTGAAAGACGTAAATGTAGGGGAAAATAAGATTTAAGTAAAATGATAAAACTCTCTTCTTTTTTATATGAAAAGAAAGAATTTGGAAGAAGAAAAGAAATATTAAGAGCACGGCGAATTGCACAGACTAGAAAACATTGTAACATGAAAGACTGGAAGAAGACTGTTCGTATTTTTTTAATGCACGCACTAAGTTAAGCCAGCAATGATTATTGAAATAACGATATTTTTGAATTTGATGTCGCCCAACTTGAGTTGGGGACTGGAAATTCGAATGATTGTTAACCAGGTTATGCGACAGAGAGCCAAGGTCGTCGACATAGATGATAGATTAAGGAAGCTGAAGTGGCGGTGGGCTAAATATGTCTGTCGAAGAACCATTAATTGATAGGGTCAACGAGTTCTTGAGTGGACAACACTGCTCAACAAACATTAGCGGGCTTTATACAGACACTCTATCGCGCGTGATACAGCAATCATGCGCTATTGAGCGTGTGTGTAAAGACGTTGGAAGGAAACGGGAAAGACAATTGCACTCAACAGTTGCACGCGCAAGCGCGCACTACAACACGCGCCAGTTTCACGTGGTCTATCCTGCGCTAATAGCCTTTACAAGGACGCTCTTTCCGTTGTATCAAAATAGAACACGAGCAATTGCTTAACAAAATTTCTAACAGGTAATCGCGCACAATTGCACATGCAATATTTTCCACTCGCAATTATGTGTGCTTCTGATCACGCACGATAGAGTGACTGTGTAAAGGAGGTTATTATGTAGGACGCCCTTTGGCCAGGCGGAATGACGATCTGCAAAAAGCTGTTAGCAGATGGATACGACGTGCTGAAAAACCGGGCAAAATGGCCGCATATTGGAAGAGGCCTATGTCTATGTCATAATGTTAATCGTCCTTGAAATGCAGATTTCAAGGACGATAGATATTGCGAACGAACAATCGCAAATTAATGTATCTACGCAACTTGAGAATTAAATCCAACGAAATAGCCTTTAGAGTCGAAACCCTTGGCCCGTGGGGTCTCAATGCCCTTCATCTGACAAAATTTTATCGAAAAAATTGTCTGTCTGAGAAACCCAAGGGCCAGCTACCTTGTCGCGGGCACCCAATTTTATTCATATAATTTAAAAATCCTAGTTCTTTCTAGTATTTAAGCTATTATTCTCTTTTTTACCTTACCTGTATATTATCGAAATAAAAATATATCACCCCAAGAAATAGCTACCTGCCATCAAAAGCCGATCTTTCGTTTAGGTAGCAACCATTCTCCCATTAGGCTACCACAGCTCTAATGTAAGTTATGACTTGATGAGATTTTGAAACCTGCTATAAAAAAGCAGGTATCTTCACGATTATCGGGGTACATTAGCTATTCAGTAAAAACAAATTACGTTTTAGAGTGCCTGCGAAACCTTTTCTTTCTTCCTTCGTTTATATCACGATATTTGCCTTTACTGTTATGGGAAATTATGTTTTTTTTTTTCATTTTTTATCCTAAATAATTACAAGTGGTTCTTAAATCTAACCTACTTACTGCAATCCCTTTAACCGGTTTATATCGTCGGTGTCTGTAGAAAGGGCGTAAGCGATATTTCGTAGATTTTTCTAGATTAACCTAATCGATTTTGGTATTGAAGCATCGTAGAGCCATACAGTGTTAATAACACGCAGGTGTGCTTTGGTCCACCGAGCATCGGTTTAAAAAAAGTTATAAATTTTTTAAA